TCTGCAATAAATGCTGACATGTATGATGAGTTCGCTGAAGTTTCAGGCGAACTTAATTTGCCACATGTCAGACCCCTGCCTAGGTCGCTTGGGTCCCAGGCGAACTAGGTGACATGTGGCAGCCACTGCACTAGTTTGCTGGACAAGGAAGCGAACTTGGTGACACGTGGCAGTTCCCCATAAGTTTGCTGCCTAGGTAAGCGAACTACATGCCGATAGTTACAGGTCGCTGGCCCAGGCAGCGAACTCAGTGTTATATAAACTCCCCTCCTCCTCTTCTCCCAAAATCAGTCTCGTCCGTTTTCTTAGAAGAAAATTTCCATTTCTGTTTGGTTTGCTTTGTCTATTTCAGTACATAATGAGTGAGAATAACAACGATGTAATATGCCTTTTATATTACAATGGGAAGAGATATTTTGGACCGAACGGTCAAGTGTTTGAAGGAGATACGAAGATCTTCCACATGAGTCCGCGTTGCAAATATACTGAGCTCAAGAAAATAATATACAAGAAGTTGAGATTACAACGAGGTCAATCCCTGTCTCGACTGATTGCTAGATGTGCTTCTTCTGGTAACCCCGTGCAATGGGTTGCTGTGGAGGTGGTTGAGGATGAAGATGTGTCACTAGTAGTTGATGCATTTCGACAACATGGAGAGTCCTCATACATCGAGTTATATGCGGAACTAAACATCGGTGGAGAGGCAAGCACTCAAACTTTCATCCCTACCAGTTACTTCATAGACATTAACAGGGAGCCGAAAGTAAATCTGGAAGATATGAATGTGTCACCCCCACCACTGTCACCTCCAATAACACAACCTTTAGATGTGATTCCTGCCAATGACATGTATGATCCGTCGTGGCATACTGATAGTTCTGAGGAGGAGGTTGATGAAGGTCTAGTCCCTGACAGTGGCTCCTCGGATACAGACGTTGATGGTGATTTCGAGTTGGAAACGTCCACTGCTTTGGTTGAACCGATTCCATCACCGGGTATTGTTGGTGCACATGACCCACCACCTGCTGCAGGTTAGTAGTTTTGAGTCTTTATGTAGTTTACTGTTTGAGTTTTATTATATTTATATGTATTTAACAACATTCGAAATGTGTGTTAAATAGGATAGGATAATGTTCCATTTTGGTCGCAAATACCTCATTACACGAACATTAACTGGGCACACCCCGACCAAGAGTGTGAAGACATGCAAGGGGCACAATTACCAAATCGGCAAATGGGTCAAGAGCTTTATAAGGACCAGCAATTTGAATGCAAGCAGGATGTACAAATGGCCATCAAACAATATTGTATGGCAAATAATCGCACAACTGTCGTGCTAAAAAGTGATACGCAAAGGCTGATCATGATTTTTCAAAATCACAGTGATGGTTGTCCGTGGAGGATGCGGGCATATATGAAAAAAGGCGGTCATGAATGGATAATAGGCGTATGGAACAACATCCATACATGTGTATCTCAAACACTTTCACAGGATCACAAACAACTGAACTCTAGTTTCATTTGTGAATTGATCATCGGTAAGTCAAGCATCTGCTCTATGTTTAATTAATCAAAAAAATTTGTTATGCTAATACGCTGCTGTTGTTTGTCAATCCGCAGAAATGATACGTGAAGAGCCTAGCGTTAAAATTGGGTTAATACAAGAGAGGATTACATCAAATCTAGGATTTCATATATCATACAAAAGGCCTGGAAAGCAAAGCAGAAGGCAATTGTGAGGGTTTTTGGGGATTGGGATGAGTTGTACGCGTTTCTGCCGAGGTGGTTGGATTATATGTTATTGTTTTCTCCAGGGTCTGCCTATAAACTGGATGTGACTGAACATAGGATTGACGGCCGGCTCGATGGATCGCACAAGGTGTTCAAAAGGGTTTTTTGGACATTCAAATAGTGTTGTGATGCCTTTAATTATTGCAAGCCTGTGCTCCAAATCGATGGGACACATTTGTATGGAAAATACCGCAGAACGCTAATGATTGCTACAGCTGTTGACGGTAACAATTACATCCTGCCTGTTGCGTTTGTTGTTGTTAGTTGTGAGAATATTGACAATTGGTCCTGGTTTTTGGCGATGTTACGGATCCATGTGACCTAGAAAGATGGAATATGTCTTATTTCTGATCGACATGCAGGCATATTGGCGGCAGTCAATAATGTTGACTTAGGTGGCAACCACCCAGAGGGTTCCATGTTTTTTGCCTGAGACATCTGGCAAGCAATTTCAATCATAAGTTCAAAAACATGGAGCTGAAGAAGCAATTAAAGAAGTTAGGTATGGTTGTTACTAGAATTTTTGCGTACGCGTTGCAATCATGAACGACGCTGATGTCATTATTGATTAACAATTATGTGTTGTCATGTACAGGTTACACTACATCGCGGTTGGATTTTGACGCTGGTTTGGAAAAATTTAAAGAATCAAGTCCACAAATTGCAGCATGGATTGATCGAATTCCGAAGGAAAAATGGAGTATATCATACGACGCTGAAGGAAGGCGATTTGGCCACACGACTACAAACTTGTTGGAGTGTGTTAACAAGGTTCTTAAAGGTGCCAGAAACTTACCAATCACGTCTCTAGTTCGCATCACGTACGCTAGGCTAAATGAATATTTTTTGGCCCACGGGCAGGAGGCTCGAGAAGAGATGGACAAAGGTAATCGTTTCGCCAAAGAGTTTTGGGTAAAATACGTTAAAAATCAACAAAATGCTGCAAGACACTTTGTTACGTCGTATGACTGAGAGAAAACACGATTTGAAGTTTAAGAGTCTTACAATCAAAGAACTCATAGAGGCGGAAAGAAATGGTGGGTTTCATTATCTGATCGGGCATGTCAGTGTGGTGAATTTACTGCTTTTAGGTACCCATGTAGTCATGTGATTGCTGCATGCAAATCAGTAAATCATGACCCTTTACAATACATTGATCCTGCATTCAATGCATCATATCAATGCCAGGTCTATTCCGGGCAATGATATCCAATTGGTAATGAAGACTTCATCCCACCCAGCCAAGGGCCAACCATTCTCCCGGATGTGTCACTTAGACGTAAAAATGGCAGGCCGCGAAGTACCCGCATCTGTAACAAAATGGATCAGCGCGAGGGTGTGAGAACGCAGGTAAGATGTGGTTATTGTAGGGTTGTAGGTCATGACAGACGTCGTTGTCCATCTCGCCTGCAAGGCACATAAATTTGGTGTGAAACAAACTTGTTGAACCGTTTGTACCGCTTTCCTGCCTGTGTGTTGTCACGCGTTTTTTTGTTATGTTTTTGAGCAATTCTGTTTTTATTTTCTGCTGTTGTCGTTGGTCGTGAAGTTTAGAGAATAAAATATGTTTAGTGAATGTAATATGGTGCTTAATATTATCATCGTGTGCTTGCTGTTAATTATTATTTTTTAATCTAGTAACCAAAACAATAACACATAACACCACACGAAATATGAATAACATAACGGTCATCCAGCAGTAATAGCAAATGAACGAGGCCTACTAAGTCCAACATACAACCAGTACCAGACAGTCAATACATATTACATCTAAAAATTAAATAATTGCATACAAGGATATATATTATATTATACAAAAATTATATAAATGCTAAAAATAAATACTAATTACTGATAAATAAATAAATAAATAACTACAAACATTGTGTGGTAAAAGAACTTTGTCACATTTATTTGTCAATCCTATAATTAAATAATTATTTTTTAATTCAAATAATTTACTTATTGCATAATCTAAATTTTATTAAATACAAAATTTAACAAAATTAAAATAATTTTTTTCTAACCTAGATTCCAAGCCTATAAATAATATCAAACAATTAATATTATTAAATAATACATTAATAAAAAGTACTACACCTAATAACATTAACATACGTATTATATAAGTCAATGTTCAAAATTTTCTAACATATTTTTCAATCCAACAAATAAGTGATTTTATTTAATTCAATACTATTATTTATCTATTGCATATTTAACAATTATGTTATTAAATACATAATTTAACAACATTAAAATATAAAAATCTAATCTAAATCCTATTAATAAATAATGCATATAAAACAATTTATTAAATACATTAATTAAAATATAAAATATTTAACTACTAACATTAGCATACAATTACTAAACTATTAATATTAGACTAATTCAACTAATAAAATAAATAATATGTCATCTAACCTAATGTGTCATAACATTAATCCTAAAAATTATCTTACCCTAAATCCTATGAATAAATAATGCATATAAAACAATTTATTACATACATTAATTTAACTATATGTTATTTAACTATTAACATTAAACTATATGTTATTATACTAAACTACTAATATTAAACTAATTAAAATAATAAAACAATTAATATGTCATATAACCTAATGTTTTATGTTACATATAATATATATAACAACAATTAAATAACAACAAAAATATAAATAAAAATTAACAATATTATACATCACTAACCTCAAATGAAGACAGAGAAGACAAATGAGAGGGAAAGAAAATTAAAGAGGAAGAGAGTGAAAGAATAAAAATAAAGGAGAGAGAAAGAGAGAAAAGGGAAGGGGAGGGGGCGCTGCTCGATGATGGAGGGAGAGGGGAGGGGGATTATATAGGGAACCGTTGCATCAAGTTCGCCCAGGTGACGAGCGACCTTGACGCATGTCAGTCACGTGACACTGGCCGTTGCACACAGGTCGCCCAGGTGGGAGGCGACCTCTGTTGCATGCAAGCCACGTGTCATGGCAGGTGAGACATTAATTGCAACAGAGGTGTCAGAAACGAACTATGACACCACCAGCTTGCTGACACCTCATCAATGCATAGTTCGCTATTGCTCTAAGCGACATGGCAGTTTGGAAAATTAGTTCACGCGCTGCATATTTGTGTGGGAACAATGCCATAATTATCAGTATTTCTAATTTCTTCTCTAGGAAACTCTCCTAGCGCATCTGACACCCTCTTCCCCATCGAAGCGCTTCCCAAATTGCGAGAAACGGTTCTGCTCTCCGAACCTGCGAACCTGAGTCTTGTTCGTTGAAAATTTCGAGTACTTCTCTGTCTGAAAGAGCTCGAACACGCTCCATTGCCTTCCCCATTCCCCTTCCTCGCTACAAACCCTAAACGCTTGGCTCCTCAACGCGCTTCGGGGATCAGGTTCGTGCTTTAATGTACCATTCTCAATATCACAGTGAGTTTCGCTGCCTATCTTTGTCTCTAAAAACCCTAGCTTCCGCTTTCTCTCTCTAGAAAACCTTAGTTTAGAAGATAGTAAATCTATGATTGTGTGCAATTGTCGAAGCTCGTGCAGTTGTTTTTGTGCGGTCTCGTCGAATTTAAATGCTGCTTGTGAGATGGAATTGTGCACGTGCTTCTGATCTTGTGTTTTCGCTGCGAATGTGTGATTTTATTTTATTTTGTTTTTGTTTTTTGGGTTGAACAAGCTGCCCCGAGAGTTGGGGGAGAAGAATTGTGATTGAGTGTTTGTGTATTTTGCTCCCTCCCAATTCATCTCGGGTGACTTTGTGCGTATTTTATTAGATTTTAGTTTTGGTTCTTGTTGTTTCCTCTTCTTCTTCTTCTTTCCTGTTTCCTTGTGTTTGTTTCCTTGTCAGGGAAAGGAAACCCTGAATTGTTGCCGGTAAGTGATTAAAAAACACATAGGGGTGTAAAGCAAAACTATAGGGTTTTATTTTTTTTGAACTTTTCCCTTTTTTCTTTTGAGGATAAAAATTAATTCCGTTGTAATTTGTCCGTGTGAATTTATAGAGTTTTGTTTTCTCTTATATTATTAGGTGACTTAGCTTTCGCTTTGGACTTGTTTTTGCCCTAGACCTCTCCCATTCCATTCCGTTCAACGCTATGTAAGTCTTCTATTTTCTTATATGTTACATTCTTTATTTCAATTTGCAATTATCAGTCAGAGTCACTCTTGTCATGCTCCCTTACTGATAATCCAAAAATAGGCTGATTCTTTTGTATTTTATATTATTTCTTGCAGTGAAAATGGGGAGTGATGACAGTCTAAAGACATGGGTATCGGATAAGTTGATGTCATTGCTGGGATATTCTCAGCCCACAGTTGTACAGTACATGATTGGGCTATGTATGTAATTCATCTAAGATCATTACACTCACCCTTAAAAGTTCCTCTATATAATCATTTTGGAAATTTTTTGTGCGCAATATTTTGATAATCTCTTTTTGGTGTTGCAGCCAAGCAAGCTACCTCACCAACCGATTTGGTGGGAAAACTTGCAGATTTTGGGGTCTCGTCTACAGATATTCATTCATTTGCTGAAGAAATTTATTCGAGAGTTCCTCGTAAATCATCGGGCTTAAATGTGAGTTTTTTTAACTAAGGCGCAATGAAAATATACTGCTATCTTCATGGTGTTTATCTAAGCAAATTCTTTATTGTAGAGGTACCTAATATCTGCTGGCTATTGATACTCTTGTATACTATATCAGCAATATCAGAGACAAGAGAGACAAGCTGCAATGTTGGTGAGGAAGCAGAAGTCTTACACAATTTTGAAGGCTGATGAGAATAGTGACGATGACTATGTTGGTGGTGAAGATAAATCTTCCATAACTACTGCTACGTCCAGAAAGGTAGACAGTCATAAGAAACGTTTCAGGAAGAAAACTGAAATTCAAGATGATCAAGATGATGAGGCAAAGTGCTCATAACCTATTAGATTTACTGTTGTACTTCTTGTTCATGGTAAGCTGCTGATCAACGGTTCTTCTAACAACATGTGACTTGTTTTGATCAAATACAATCATGCAGGTAATTTCAAGAAAGGAAAGGGAGAGACAAGTTAAGAGACGAACTTCCCCTGATAAAGATAGTGGTTCAGAGGTATTTTTTAAATGTCTAGTTGTGCTTATATATGACATAGACTTACAACTGATAAGGAAATTCCTGCTATATCCACTTGTTTAATTTATTTATTTTTTCTGTGCTGTTATACAGACTTCTGTTTTTCACTGGATGCATTTCAGTCAGCTTTAATATGAATATTAAACTCTTCTATTAAATTAATCATTGAGTTTCTGGCTCTGTTGGTGTTGGGTAATTAGGCCCCTTGCTAGGTGATTTTTTATTTATCTTTTTGAAAAATCCATGTCTTGCTCCATTTTAGGGAACAAAACAAGAGAACAATGTCCTGACAAAGGGTGATGCATATGTGCTATGGTGGAGCCGAGCTATTATTGTCCGTCTTAAATATGATTTATGTTCTCCAAAAGAAAAAAGCTTTTGTGTTGGTCTAATTTTTGATGATCATGTTAAAGAGTTTGTTTATTGAAAATTCTTACCTTTACATATATGATGCTTTATTATATCATATTTGTAAAAGCATTATTGTTTTTTCCTACCTCCAGTCTTGATGTGATTGCTTGTCTATTTGCAAACAGTCAGAAGAAGAAAGATTGAAAGATCAAAGAGAGAAGGAGGAATTAGAGCAACATATGAAAGAAAGAGATGCAGCAGGAACACGGAAGGTACTCATCCATATTTAAATTATTATTATTATTATTTTTTTAAATTGATGCCACTGTGCTGGAGTTAGTGTCTTAAGTAGTAGCTACATGAATGCTTTCTTTTGGATTAAAAAAGAAAATATATTAGAAATAACGGAAAAATGTGAGGTACATGGTTAATGATGTGCATGGACATTATTGTTTTATCAATTTGCATTTTCTGTTGATATCAATGGGCTTGAATCGGTATCGTAGGTGGAGGCTGCGTAAATATTTTTTTTATATAGTAATTATTATTTTCAAATTCAAATCTTGTTGAACCCGATACCCATCCTAGCACGTCCCATCCAAGAGCACCACCCTAGAAGAAGCTAAAAGCAGGAACTAGCCTGCTGCGGTTACATCGTTCAGTTCATAGGTTTGTGATTCGAGGAGTTTTCTTTTCGGTACCCTTATTAGCATATAAAATGAGTAGTAGTATATTAGGTACTGTTGTAATAGGTGCTACTGTTGTAATATGTTCAATTTTGATACTATACTATCGAGTACATTAGAACTTTATCTCAGTTCAGTTTAGTGAACTGTTTACTGTTGCAACTGACTCAGTGCTGAGTCATCAGTGTAATACACTGCTCTATATATACAGAGCCGCACTTGTATCAGATTATTCCAGATAACAAATATATGAAAACACTCGAGTTCTCTCTCTTCTTTTCTCTCCTTTTTTTCACTTTTCTTTGTTTCCTTTGAATTATTATTAACTCTTGGTACATATCATAATCAGAGTGTAGAGGATAAAATTCCATATCTTAATTTTATTTGGACTATCAGTGTACAATATATAGCCAAACAGAAAGCTAAAATAGGAAACAAAAAATATTGGGCAAACCCAATTATTATTTGGTAAATCCCACAAAACTAGGCATAGAAACTAAAAGGATAGTTGACTATGATCCCTATAATCAAGAGATGTTGTGTATCTCACAATTTTCCAAGATTGCTTTCCAACACTCCCCCTCAATCTGTGGAATAGATGTCAGTAATTCCTAGCATGCCGACATTAGGATCAAAGGTCCGATTTCAACAAAGCCTTTGTAAGAATATTTGCTTCCTGCAACATTTTTGGGAGATAATGTAAGGTAAATGTCCCATATCAGATTGGGAGGTTCCCCTTAAAATGACCACATAACACACTAACCCTATCCCATAACAATGTAAGGGCATAGAAACACACTTGGGGGTGTTTGGTAGGAGAGTTTTGATTTGTTGCCTGGGAAAGTGCACATGGGATTCAAAGAAAGCTGCGTTTGGTAGGGGTTTTGAAAATATTTGCCCAGGGTTGTAATTTGCATGGGAAAGTGACATTGTGTGTAAAATTGAGAGCAAATCACCACTTGAGAATACCACCCAGAGGGTGGTATTCTGATTTGCATGGGAAAGCTGCATTTGCTTTTTTTTTTCAATTCTTTTTTTTTTCCCAGCTTTATAGTGAGTTTTAAAAAAATTACTCTTTAGGCAAGGGTTACTTTTGTAATTTCACCCCATTTTCCCATCAATATTTTACCTTCAACCAAGCATAGACTCAGGAAACTTAAACCAATTTTTCCGGTAATATTTCGGCCCACCAAACAACTTTTTTTTAACTTTCCCCCAGTAAACACACTTTCCCAGTAATTGTGATTCCCCGATAATTTTTTTTTTCTTCTCTACCAAGCACTCCCTTGAAGATATCTGCATTCTATTCCAACCGAATACACTGCAGAACAGCAAAAATGGCACTATGCTACAAAGTTTTTGCTCTAGGGTAGAAGAATATAGGCACACCCAGTATTGACCAAGAACTTGAAATAGATTATTCTGTAAGAAAGTAGCCGCTCTATAATGAAAAATAAAATGTGCACTTGTTTCTCTAGTGGCTAGATAAGGTAACTCAGAGTCTCAGACTATTAACGTGGCTTGTCTATGTTTCGTCTAATATGTTTGGTTAGATAACAGCAATGAGTGTTATGTTGATATGTGGCTCTCCCAAATCCAATGAAAAATTGTTAGTGCTATATATGTGAGGTTATTTTGGCTTAGGGCTGACTCTGATACTAGCCGTGTCTCAGTGCAGAAAATTTTCTGGACTCCGCCATTATCAGCCTTCAATCCATGTTAATCATACCCATTGCTCATAACTTTATGAATTTATTTTCCTTTTACAACTTGATAGATTCTCTTAATATCACTGGAGAATATAGTGATGCTTATATCTAAAACACATTTAGATAGTTCAATGCATACATTTATGATGTATATTTTTTTTTCCTGTTTTACCTATGCTGTTGCTTTGTTCTAATTGTTTGAATTGTTTTTATATTGTCAGCTGACTGAACCAAAATTAACACGGAAGGAGGAAGGTAAGCTTTGTGTGTGTGTGAGTGGATTGTTAAACTTACAAACATATGCTCATAAAGTATCCATGTAAACCTCATGCATGTTTATATGCCTTTATATCTATATATTGGTTTGATCTTCTTGGTTTAATCTGTCTTCCAACAGAAGAGGCAATTCGAAGATCTAATGCTGCAGAGCAGGATGATATTCAAGCATTGAGGTTTGTTATCATATATTTTTTTATTTGTTTGCTCTGTGTGGAAATATTCTTTTTGGGATATTTAGGAGGTGGACATCTGACTGATGTTTTCAAAACCTGGTTAGTCACTGATGCAAATTATGGAGTAAACTGGAAATCTAACAAAAGTTTTTTATGAATAATATTCTCAAACAATTTAAAACTATTTTACAATTTGTTGATATATACATTTGATGATGTCTATTATTATTTTTAAATTTATAAATTATTCTAGAAATTAGTAATATTTATTATGTAGTTTTTTTAATAATTATTTATTTTTACAAGAAGGGGAACCTTGGCGCAATGGTTGGTGTTCTTGCCATGTGACTTGAAGGTCACTGGTTCGGTTCATATAACAAGTCACTTACAAATGCAAGTGACCAATGCAATAGGTCTAACCCTTCCATGCACCCTGTGCATAGCTGGAGCTGTATAGCACCATGGTGCCCTTTATTATTTATTCTTACAAATTATTAAATTGTAATTAAAGTAATACCAAATGATTTATTAACTTTCTGGGTTTTTTATAGCCTTCAAATCACTAAGAAAGAAATTCATTTTTTATAAATTCTTTTATACATTTTGATTTTGGCATTCTTTGCTTTTGGATAGAATCTGTTCGATTTTATTTTATTTGTTCAACATGAAGTGCTGTAAATTATTGTGTTTATAATTGTTACTTTATTAGGAATATGTCATAACCATGTAAAATATTTTATCATGGCTTAGGATTTTTGGAAAAATAAAAGTTATGGGAAATATACCAATAGATAGATGGCCAGTGCTATTAGTAATAGTAAAATGGCAGACCAAGTGTATCAGGTTGTTTGTGCAGCACCATGGGCAGGCTGCCATTTTAAAATTTCAAATTCACCAGTTCAACTCTTGAACCAGATCCACATTTAAGCAGTTTAACTGCCTGGTTTGATAAAATTTGACTGGTTGTGACAAAATGTTATGAGGGTATAACTGGTCGTCTCCTGGCTAAACTGTTCTAATTGGTTTAGAAAATGAAAATCCTCACTGTGGTCATGTCATTTGGTTGAGCACTGGTAGTGCATAATAGGTTTAATTCTAATTTTTTACCATATGTTGTGGAGTTTTAGACCAAACAAGGTTGTCACCGAATATGTGATGGGCAGTTCTAATTCAAAGGAATTTCGCATTTATATTTTACTTTTCCTAGTACCATTACCAACATTTGGTGTATAGGTGTATTAGAGTAGAATAAGGTGAAGGAATAGATCAAAGAGGGAGAGACTGAATAGCAAAACTCAAATTCGGTCTGAAATTCAAATCTGAAGTCTCTAAAACTCAGTAGATAACAACCCTTAAATAGCAAAACTCAGCATGATTACCAAGAAATTCTAATTTTATTTCTATGCCATACTCCATCTGTATGTTTTTGAAACTTTGAGTTCTTCCTGCTCCCCATTAAATTCAGTGTTTTTTTTTTTAAATTTATTTATAAAACAAGAAATCCATTAAGAATTGTGAGTTCTTCCTGCTCCCCATTACTTTCATTGTTTTTTATTTTAAAATTTATTTATAAAAGAAGAAATCCATTAAGGAGAAAAGAAGATAATTTACAAATATTTGGAGGATAAGGGATCCTCCTTAACATCAAAGGAAAACATAAACGACAAAGAAAAATAGATACATCAATGGAACAAAGCTACCCATTCCCTTAGCATGTCTATATCTATTAGGGAAGGCCCCTTAATAAGGCCATGGGCTTTAAACCAATTAGAAGCCAAATGCCTAATCGTATCCCTGATTAGCTGCTATGTATGACCAAGAAACTTCGTTAAAGTTACATGAGTTGCCCTCCAACCATATACATAACATTGTTGCATAGATTGCATATTGCTACAAAAATCTAGGCTCTTTACTTCTACAGAACCATTAAAGATTTTCAGCATATTTCTTGTTGAGCAGTATGTCATGTCACTTACAGTTTTTATTTTTTTCCTGCGTTTTCAGAAAGGTTTCAAGGCAAGAATACTTGAAGAAAAGGGAGGAAAAAAAAATAGAGGAACTCAGGTTTGATACCACTGCAGTTTCTTTTGTTTTTTGAAGGTTATTTATTACATCTTATTTTCTGTCAATGAACAAATTATAGTTTGGTTTTATTAATATGCTGTTTTCTATGTTATAATGCTTATTAGTTCTCTATCTTCTCCCTGAATTTAATAATTTAACATGATTATTGCAGAGATGATATAGAAGATGAGCAATATCTATTCGGAGGTGTGAAGCTTTCAGAAACAGAATATAGAGAGCTTAGGTAATCTATCTATTTGCTGCTTTTTTGAGTTCCTCGTATTCAATTCTTCTTTTGTTGCTTTATGAGACATTTTTATTTCCTTAATATTGTTTCCCGAGTAAAATAGTGTCAACTAAATTATGTATAGGAAACACTATACACAACTTTAGTTTCGGCTCTAGTCTTTCTTTTATTGTAATTTTTAAACTATACTCAAGCTGTTTATTTGGTTTTCCCTTAGTTTGTCTTCATAATGCTTTACTTTTTAAATTTTGAAATACATTAAATCTGTCAATAACTTGTTTTGAATAATTTACTATTTTCTTTGACTAGTGTAATAAAGTTAGTATATACTTTGACAATACTTCAAAAAAGGGAAAACAATTTTTATTTGATCTTTCCTGTCCTTTTATAATTTGTTAATTTCTTCATGTCCAGTCTGCATATGCTTCACCTATTTTCATTGTTGGGGGTGGAGCTAAAAAGATGCAATCATTGTGTCCTCTTACACTGATTTTGGAGATTGAAAGTTGGAGAAACTTTGGATTTTCATCCTTTATCACGTTAAATGAACATGGTACCACTTTAAAAGGGGGCGAATCGGAGTAGTGGTAAAATTGTTCCTTCATGACTGAAAGGTCATGGGTTCGAATCCAGGAAACAGCCTCTTTGCAATTATGCAAGGGTAGGGCTGCGTATAAGAATTTCCTCCACTTCACACCGCTAGTTGGGTTTAACGGGGAGTTGATTACGTTAAATGAACATGGTACCACTTTGTTTCCTCAGCATCTATCTTTTTAGTTTAGCAAGCATATGCTCATAAGGTAGTTTAATCAATGAATCCGATACAACTGGATCGGATAATAAGAAATAGAATAAACACAAGTAAGATTTTGGCCCAGAAAAGGTTTCTGGAATTTTTCATATTTTGAATGAGAAAACAACTACAATGAACAGAGGTGCAAAAGTTACAAGGAAATGAACGACTAACACAATCTACTGACTGAAAGAAAGGAAATTAAATTCAACACGTTTGAGAGGTGTTGATCTCTTCCAGTCCCAATTCCCAAAATTCCAGCCTAGCCTCCTTTCCATGCTTCCTTTCCCTTATAAACCCACTCAACTAACTTCCTTAGCCGCCTCAGCAGATGATACCTTCTCTCCTCTTACAGAACTTCCCCCTAACAACCTTTGTGGAATATTCCTTGCTAGAACTGAGTCACCATTGCCAGATAATCCTGTGACGCCTCCTTGAATATACCTTCAAGGGAGTTGTATCGATACTCCCCCCTGTCCCGGTCCTCAGCCAACATAAAGGTTGAACAGTAGTGGAAGGTGAAATGACTTTCTTTAGGAGGGACACATGAAACACATTAGGAACTCTGCAATCTGCTGGAAGTGCAAGTTTATAGGCAGCAGCTCCAATCTGCTGTAATTGAGAAGCCCCACACTCCCCTGAAGTTCATTCATAAGCACTGTGTATGTTTACTATTATACTTTCAGTTCCCAGGATGTTTAAGTCTTTATGATAAGGATGTTATTGTAATTTTAATAGTATTAAGTGTTTCATAGAGATTGTTTTATATGTCCCATGTGTCAAAATAGCTGCACTATGCTGTATGCTGTAGTCGTATGAGCCACTCATTGCTACAAGTGCACTATTCATTATGAGCAACTATGCTTGAAATTAACTCCTTTATGTTTTCCAGTAATATGTTTGACTTGACCTGTTTGTTTAGGAAGTATACTTGTGTATTCTTCATTTGCACATGGCAGCAAAAGCCCTTCTATCATAATGCGGTGTGTGTGGAGAGCCCAAATAAAAATATCAAAGATGAGGTAATCCCTTTTGCACTCGGAAAAAGTTTTATCTTTTTCTTTTTTTCTTGTCCCCAGGTACAAGAAAGAGATATTTGAACTTGCGAAGCGGTCAGAGGAGACTGACAATGTGAATGAGGTAATCAGTGAGTTTCTATTCCATGAGTGTGAGATCGAGATCTGTTTATAATTATATATTCATTCATGGTTGATTATTGTTGAAATGGAGCTACATTTTTTATTTGTTTGAGTTAAGCTGTTTGCCAGTTATTCTTGTTATATTAGGTTCTGCATTTATTTTCTGTTGACGAGGACTGATTTAATGCCAAGACTGATAGTGTGTAGTTCTATAATATGATGCCATCCTTCTCATTTGCAATGGAAATTGGTATAGAGATCTTTTAGCTGAAAAAATTTAATCCTTTTAGGATCTGGCCCTTGACAAAGGGATTAGGCATATGATATGTTAAATTGACACATCTATATGCTTCTTTGCTAAACTCTCATATGTTCTCCTGGAATTGCAGTATAGAATGCCAGATGCTTATGATCAGGAAGGTGGTGTTAATCAAGAGAAGCGATTTTCTGTGGCTATGCAGCGTTACAGGTGTTTCACTTACCACATGATCTTCAATAGAAAAAATAAAATAAAAAAAGCAAAAGAAAGTGGAATTCACATGTACACTATTACCATAATACCAGTTATCATGTATTTCCTCAGATTTTGCATCTCATGTTAGTGGGCATGAATGTCCAAAAGCACTTTTTACTTGCTAAACAAACATCTTATGTTTTATTTCTTTATAGAGATCCAGGTGCTGAGGATAAGATGAATCCATTTGCTGAACAAGAGGCATGGGAGGAACATCAAATTGGTAAATATTTCTGTATCATCAAATTTCTCATAAAATCTCTCCTTTTTCAGAAAGAAATCTCTGTTCCTTTTCTATATTGTTATACTCCTAGGTTCTGAATAATGTCTTTCAGGAAAGGCAACGCTGAAGTTTGGTTCAAAAAATAAAAGACAAGATTCTGATGACTATCAGTAAGTCTTTCATTTTGAAATAACTTTTTACTCAAGATTATATTGTAATATGATTTTGATTTACTTGCTTATTGTATGACATTTAAGTCTTAAGTTTGTGTGTTTTTATTCTTTAGGTATGGTGTAGGAGGTGGTTCATTGCCTTTATTTCTTTGAGTGTACAGATTATTGATTTTAAACTTCAACTTATTTGTTTAGGTTTGTGTTTGAGGACCAGATTGATTTTATCAAGGAATCAGTGATGGACGGAGATAAGGTATGTCAATAACTCATAAGTTAACTCATAAGATTTAGGATTTAGTGTTGATGTTCTTGTATTTGAGCCGTCTCTCTTCGCAGTTTGATTATGAAGAGATGGAAGATTCACTTGAAAAGTCCAGAGCAAAGTCAGCTTCAGATGCTCTTCAGGTAGCATTTTAATATTTCTTTAATGGCTTTATTAATTGCTAGGGGATGTACATGCATTAATTGCCAGTCAAATCAACATTTTTTATTTTTCATTTATATATATGGGATTAACGTTTCTTTTGCGATCCCAAAACGAGTTTGGGAAAAAAATGCAGGGAATTTTAGTAAAATTCATGACATAAGTGGAAAGTACAAATTCCAAAATACCCTGCATTTTTTCTCTAAACCTAAAAAATGACTTCGTTTTGGGGTCGCAGGAGATAACTTTATCTCCTATTGCAGGAGAAACAATTTTCCCTGTATATACAACAAGAGATAAAATTATCTCTTGCAACCCCAAAAAGATGTCGTTTTGGGATTTAGGAATAAAGTGCAGGGTATTTTGGAATTTTTACTTTTCACTTATACCATGAATTTTACTAAAATACCCTTTCTTTTTTTTTCAAACCCCTAAATCACGTCACTTTGAGGTTGCAAGAGATAATTTTATCTTCTGTTATAACAGAAATGTTATATATATACACACACATGATCCTTTGACATCGGTGTCAAACTAAAATGTTAAACACCAAATTTTAACTGTTGATTTTGTGAATCTAACGATTATAATTTATTGGGTCACACTTATTAATTAATTATTAATTCTAAATAAATTATATTCTTTAGAGTGACGGAAATTAACGGTTAAGATTTGGTGTCAAAGGATCCTATGCCATATATATATATATATATATATATATATATATATGTATGTATATGTATGTTAGAGAAGTATAAAAACCATTAATGTAGTCTTACCTAACAACTTAAGTTTTTGAGTTGAAATGACGCTTTACATGGTATCAGAGCCTTGGTCATTCTCATCGCCCCCCATTTAATTAATAATCAATTAAGTCTTGTGAAGTTTCTTAGCATAGGTAGGTGGGTCTGTGCATTTTTCACCCTTCAAGCCCAGTGGGTTCTCGTGTGAGGGTCCGTGTTAGAGAAGTATAAAAACCATTAATGTAGCTTCACCTAACAGCTTAAATTTTTGGGTTGAAATGACACTTTACAATATGTATATATATTCAACATCACCATCATCTTTATTTCAAACTACTTAGGGTTGACTTTCAATGATCCAAAAAAAAATAAACAAGAAAATATTGAAGGAAAATATTTAATATTAAGTTATAATATAAAAAAATATTTAAAAAATAAAATGAACAAAAAACATTGAGAAAGGAGAGGGGAGGAGCAGTTAAGTCGGGTAGTATTAGGAAACCAACTATTACTAAGGTGTAGAGGGCAGAGGGTCCAGGTCTCTGAGGGAGGGAGCGGAGTAACAGATTGCAAGAGAGGCAATCAAGGGGAATTGAGATTCCAGGGAGGGAATGGTTAATATAACATATTGCCAGTGAGACAATAAAGCGGAATTGGGAGGAAAAGTTTGATCTGTATGGATATAAAGAGGAGAGGGAGAAGATAGAGGGGTAAGGAAAAAAGTTGAGAACAGTGAGGGAGAGTGCTGGCTATGTCATACCCTGTGTTACCTATTTTCTGTTTCAGTTCTTCGTCTTCCATTGTAAATCCACCACAGGTTCTGATATCACATTGATATCAGAATCTGCAGAAGAATAATACAGTAGACTCATTCATCATAGCTGAGTGTGTTTTGATCCAATTTCCAGCAGATAGTTTTTTTTTTTATTGGTAAATTGTAAATATAAACTAATCAATAATGGAAAATTTGGTAAAAAAATGTGACTCAGGCAGTTAAAGAGGGCAACTCCTTTATTAAGTAGTATATATGAAAAGAGTGGCTTGACAAATTTTTAATTCAGTGCCACTCAGAACTACAGTCTGCTAGTGTTAGCTAATGATTGTTTTGAGGCTACGAAGCTATTGCTCTGATTATAAGGTGGCAACTGGAGAAGATTACTTGAGGCTGCTATTATATTGTTTAATGAAATAATTACAAGAATTGTATTATTGATATTTTAATTCTTTTTTAAGAAATCAAGCTACGAAGCAGTTTACAACTTGAGTATTAAGGAAAAAATATCTCAATCTTCTAACAAGATTAATACATGAAAGTTGATCACAAGGATGAGAGGAACAGCTTTGGTGTTCATGATTTTCCTAAAAGTAGCTAGAAAGGAAGATGGAAACTCAAGCTCCTGCAACAATGGAGGATGCCACGGTTTTTTGCAGCTGATGGGGCTGTGGGGCGCTGATTTAGGGAGGGAGGAGAGAGAAAGTGACTTGGATTGCCACATAGGCTCTAATAGGACGAAATACCACTTAAACCACTCATTTAACCCACTAATCACCACTTAATTCATGACCCAATCAATTAATCAAATTTTTAACCTTCATCAAAGTCCATTAAATATACTTTAACAAATGAATTCGGAGTTTCTCGGTAATTCGGTGAAATCACTGTTTTAACCTGGTATGTGCATCGTTGGCACGTTTCACCCAAAACCCTAAGGGGGCGTTTGGTTGAGGAGAAATTTTTTGAATACTAGGGAAATGTAATTGATAGGAAAATGGTTGGAAAGTGAGTTTGGTAGGAAAATGTAAAAAAAGTTGTTTGGTTGAGTAAAATTTTACTAGGAAAATTATGTCAAATTTCTGAAGAGTGTGTTTGGTTGAATAGAAAATATTGATGGGAAACTAATTCAAATTACGAAACTATCCTTTTAAAAATAATGGAAGCTTTGCAACTTTTGCCAATTTTACAATCACCCTTTTATAAAACTTTTGCCACTTTTGCAACATGGAAAGCAATGGAGACAGAAACCGGTTTATATCCAGGGAAATGCCATACAGTACTTTTGTAACTGGAAATCACTTGGGTTCATTGTGGTTGATTGAAGACAACCAAAACAATCATCCATATCTTCTTGATTGGTACTATACATCTCGACCTCATGATGCTACTTTAAGAGAGATTCCATTAGAACCATTTGGAGAAATGGAGCATCATTCCAGAGAGAATTGGATGACCTCCAACTTGACAAAGAATGAACCTGGGTATGAAGAATGCTCAAATGAGTTTTGTGAAGATCGGGCTGCATCTCATCTTGGGGCTTCCACATCAGCTCCCATGTTCAGGGAAAGCCTAATTCAGGATCAAAATTCTAATGAACTGTCCCACGCTAACAGGAGTCATTGGTGGGCTAGAAGTCACCAACAGGATGGACATGCTCAGACAAGCTTTTTTGAGCCTCCTGATTTCAATCCCCAAACAACATGTAATTATTATGACAAGTTTTCTGATAGAGGGTCAGAGGATAAATATCTTTTCGACAATTAGAGGGTGGGTATTTTCGTCTGCTTCATTTTGACAAATTGCAACTTAGCCGGCTATCCTCACAAACCCACCACTAACTTGTCTTTTTAAACAGTGACAATAGATGGCTATCTACGACTAAATGGAAGAATCCTATGCATTTGCTATTGCTGGGAAACTTGGTTAAATCTCTGTACCAAACAATGACTTTCTATATTGCCATGTTCATTTGCATGGGGAAATTTCAAAATCCCCTGAACCAAACACCACCTAAAATTCATCAAATTTCATCAACAATCATATTTCTTGGTCCTAAGTACCTTTTCCAACATATATTCAAACCTAGAGCTCAAATTTCACTCGTCACGTTTTTTGGTGCAACTATACCTCAGAAGCATGGACACATGATTGTTTAAAAAATTTGCGTATCAGACACCGACACGTTCCGACACGCGGTCAACTCTCCGACACGTTTTTCCGACACGCAGTCAACTTTTTCCAACACGCAGGCAACGCTCCGACATGCACCCGACACGTTTTTTTTTTTAGTCTTAATTTTTTTTTATTAATTAACTAAATATAAAAAAATTAATTTATAAATCAATTTTTTCTGTTATGAAATTTGACATGAAAAATTAACAAAGTACGAAAATATATTTTTGTTTATATTTATGTTATGGAATTTGAATATTTGATTGGTTATATGACTTATTATGGACTGTTATATGTATTAAATATAAATTATATTATATATATTAAAATTTTATTTAATATCAAAACGTGTCCCGTGTCGAAATATGACATTTTTTAGAATTAACGTGTCGTCGTGTCGTGTCCCGTGTCGGTGCCGGTGCATCATAGAACTATATCGCTGTGTTTTCATCCGGTAAAAATACTATTCATCAAATTTTTAGAAACTTGTGTAATCACTCAATTTTTCGTTCTGAATCCATGTCTAAGGTTACTTTTCTCATTTGAGACCTTATACTATCATTTTACTGTTTAGGGTTATATATTTGCTAAATTACCGTTGTACCATTTTTACGTATTTTGACTCAGAACACAGGATTTTCACTGATCCTACCCTTAACTTCTTATTTTAACTTAACTATAATTATGTGTTTCAAATCTACGAGGTGTTATATGACCACTGACATAAGTTATTCACATTGTTTTCTATCTTTCTTTTTTAGGAGGAGAGGAAAAAGTTACCCATTTACCCTTATCGGGATGAATTGCTCCAAGCTATTAATGATCATCAGGCATGCCCACCCCTCTCTCTCTTGTTTTCTTCCCTTTTCCCTTATTTTTGTTTTTATTCTACTAGTTCTGAATTTTGGTGTTGACGATTAGTGGATTTCATCTCTGTTGTCATTGAACTATTCATAATTTGTATTTATTTGATTTCATCAACTTTTTATTCACATTTTCTTGTATACAGTTGTGTGTTCATTCATATTAACCTTGAATAATATCCTTGAATAGGTACTTGTAATTGTTGGTGAAACTGGTTCTGGAAAAACTACACAGATTCCCCAATATCTTCATGAAGCTGGCTACACAAAACGTGGGATGGTGTGTTTTTAATTTCTTTTTATGTGCTTACAATAGGTTAATTTGATTTGAAAACCTTATTTGATGTCTCTGTTATATTTACTTTTGTTTTACGATTTGCAGAATTTTGATGAGTCAATGTAATGTCACTTTGTCCATGTTTCATTATATTCTATTTGTTTGTGCCGTGTCCTTGCCAACTATCATTATTAATTTCTGGATCAAATAGCTGTGCACATTTTGTCATGGTGTGTTGCTTTAGCTCCTATAAAACAATAAAAGAACAGTGGCCATGGTTTAATGTAAGATATATTGACCTACAGGGCCTATGACTATATGGTTGTGTTTGTTATGGTTCAGTTATTCTTTGACAGTTGTTACAGTGAGTGGGCTGCTAAGCTCACTGCAGCAGAGTTAATTAGAACTCTGCTAATCTGTTTTAACATTCAGTTAGTTGCTTAATCAGCATCTACCCCTATAAATATTGTAACACATTCAGAGCAATGTGAATGAGAATCAGAGGTTAGTTAAGATGATTTTCTCTCCTCTTCAACCTTACCTTTCTCTCGGAAGTTACTGTTATCGGATTCTATCAATCAAGAATTTAATCGTGATTGTATCGTTCAGTTGCAAATGATTATATTTTTCTAGGTATTGGAAAAAAGCAGATTTAAGTTATTATATTTTTCTACAGATTGCATGTACTCAGCCACGGCGTGTTGCTGCTATGAGCGTTGCTGCTCGAGTTTCTCAAGAACTGGCTGTAAAACTAGGACATGAGGTAGACTACCTTCATTATTAAACATTATAATTTTATATTGTCTATTTTTTATTATTATTATAAAGTTTATTTGCTGCTAAGATTTCCTATTTTTTAGAAGATGGATATTTATATGCAGATTATATGGGAAAATGAGCTTTCTTTAATACGGATTTTATTTATGTACTGTTGAGATATATAAAACCATTAATGTAGCCTCACCAAACAGCTTAAGCTTTTGGGTTGAATTGGTTCTTTACATGTACATCTCTCTCTTTTGCCTGGCTCAATCTTCAAATGTTGTTTATATTTAATTCAAGGTTTTTATTTTTTGAAGGTTGGTTATTCGATTCGTTTTGAGGACTGCACATCAGAGAAGACTATACTGAAATATATGACAGATGGAATGTTACTGAGGGAATTCCTTGGTGAGCCTGATCTGGCAAGTTATAGGTGAGCTTATATTGGATTTGGATTTAGTGTCAAGTTGGATGCTATAGATTGTTCTCTTATTAGTCTTCAAATGTTGTAGTGTTGTGATGGTGGATGAGGCTCACGAAAGAACTCTCTCAACTGATATTTTGTTTGGATTAGTAAAGGTGAGCAGAAAAACCTTGGGCTGAATTAAATTTGTATGCTTTATTTATAATTCTAGTGGGTTTAATGGTAGACAATTGAAATTCTGTTCCTTGGACAATCAGCATCTTGAATCTGATATTCAAGACTATTTGAGCAAATATCTGGTTGAGTCTAGCATAAGTATTTTTCCATACATGTAACAAATCTGATAGGATTATCAGATTTTTGCAATCATTTGCTTGGCTACTGACGTGATGTGGATTGATGTATTCTTTTGTTCTATATTGTGCAATGATTCTTATTTAGTTGCTGGTCAATCTGTAACTCATCAATGCTTTGTCTTTGCGCATACTTGAATGTATTTTAAGTTCATGTTCAGATTAAATGAATAAATAATTTTATTTGTGGATCCTCCTGTGCACATTACATACTTTGTTTTTGTGACAGGATATATCTCGTTTCCGGCCTGATCTTAAGTTGCTGATATCAAGTGCTACACTTGATGCAGAGAAGTTCAGTGACTACTTTGATACTGCTCCAATATTCAAAATTCCAGGTCGACGGTATCCTGTTGAAATAAACTTTACCAAAGCACCGGAAGCTGACTACTTAGATGCGGCTATTGTAACGTCACTTCAAATCCATGTCACTCAACCTCCCGGAGATATATTGGTATTCCTTACTGGTCAAGAAGAAATTGAAACGGCTGAAGAAATCTTGAAGCATCGAACTAGAGGCTTGGGGACTAAAATTGCTGAGTTAATAATATGCCCTATATATGCTAACCTACCAACTGAGCTACAAGCTAAAATATTTGAACCTACTCCTGAAGGGGCACGAAAGGTTGTCCTTGCTACTAATATTGCAGAAACATCATTGACAATTGATGGGATCAAGTATGTCATTGATCCAGGATTCTGTAAGATGAAAAGTTATAATCCAAGAACAGGAATGGAGTCCTTGTCAATAACTCCCATCTCAAAAGCTTCAGCAATGCAGAGAGCTGGTCGTTCTGGAAGAACAGGTCCTGGAAAGTGCTTCCGATTATATACGGCATACAATTTTCACAATGATTTGGATGATAATACTGTACCAGAAATACAGCGGACTAATCTTGCAAATGTAGTTTTGACTTTAAAAAGTCTTGGTATTCATGACTTGATGCACTTTGATTTTATGGATCCTCCACCTGCTGAGGCCTTATTGAAAGCTCTGGAGCTTCTATTTGCATTAAGTGCATTAAATAAGGTTGGTGAGTTAACTAAGGTAGGTAGACGGATGGCAGAGTTCCCAGTTGATCCTATGTTGTCAAAAATGATAGTGGCTTCAGAAAAGTACAACTGTTCTGACGAGATCATTTCTATTGCTGCTATGCTTTCTATTGGCAACTCAATATTTTACCGTCCAAAGGATAAACAAGTACATGCAGACAATGCAAGGTTGAATTTTCACACTGGAAATGTTGGAGATCATATTGCATTGCTAAAGGTTCACTTTTGATTTTTCTGTATTTTATTGCTTATGGCTTGTCTATTTCCATTTTTCCATTCTGTGAAATGTTAGGCATTATTGTTGATTCATTATGCATTAAATATTTGTTGATGTGCCTATTGTATATTTTTCTTTTCTTCTAGCTGGGACATTTTATAAATCAATCATGGATTATAGCCAGGTTATTATTGGGGGTGCTCATTTGAATTTGTGGACAAGTTGTAATCCATTACCAATATGTTTCCTTATTCTAGATTGTTATTGGACCTTATTATTGAATTGTTGCATTCAGGTTTACAGTTCATGGATGGAAACCAATTATTCAACGCAATGGTGTTATGAAAATTATATACAGGTATGGTTCTTTGTTTTTCAAACTATTACTTGCCACATCTATATTTAGTGGAAGTGCTAGAAAGTAGTATGCACTTATATGTGCACGGTTAAGGGAAAAAATAGCGGAGATGTGAGTGGAGAAAATTAAGGGAAGTGAAAAGAGAGATATTGGTGTTGTAATTTTATTCAGAAATGTTACTTTATTTAACTAATTTTATATTTCATTTTAGTTAATTTTATTAGTTCATTTAACAAGCATTTGAATTTAGTAATAGTAATCTTCCAACATTTTGGACTAAAATTGAAGACTGGGAAGATTTATTTTTGCATAAAAAACTACCTCCATGTTCTCCTTATTGATTGTGGAGATGTATGTTGTTTTTTTGTTAAACTTTTTTACGGTGCTAGGGAAATAGCCATTTTTTGTTTTTCGCAAAGAGATTGGCTAGCTTTGCTAAGTTGTACTTATCTTGTCTTTTTCATTTTGTTTATTTATTTGTTCTTTTTTTGTTTCTTGAAAAAGGGTATCTTATCCTTTCTTTTATTACTTATTCTTTTGCTCTACTGATAATATTTCTTTTATAAAAATGAATTTTTGAACTTGTATGCAAGCTTATGACAATGCAGCCCTTGTTTGATTTCCCCTGCCCCTTAGAATCTCAAATGGGTTATTCCAAGATGATCCCAATCTGTGATAAGATTATACACGGTTGTTACAACCTCTGTTTCTTTGTTCTTTTTCCTCTGTTCAAAGGCTGTTGTTATCCAAGTGGCTACCTACAACCTCTGTTTCTTTGTTCTTTTTCCTCTGTTCAAAGGCTTTTGTTATCCAAGTGGCTACCTACTAAGGAAGAGGGAAGCTGGAAATAACCCTAGAGGGGTGTGTGAATAGGGTTATCTAATTCTTTTTGCAATTTATCAAGCACAAAATAGAATTATACAAAGTTTCAACTTTGCTTTCTTATTTCACTTTATTTTATTTCTCTTTTAACAAAAATACTGAATATCGGACAGATTTAACAAGCGAGAATGAATTGCAATTTCTACTTATATGAACAACAAAAATATATGAATAATATCAGAGTATAGGGAAGAGAAGATCACACCAGTATTTATCCTGGTTCACACCTCTAAGTGCAGTGAGGTGCTATATCCAGTCCCAAGGTAACATGCTCTTGGATTTTCTTCCACTAACAAAAGAAATTACAATATCCAATTACAAAAAAAATTCTCAAACCTGAAAATTAACTCTAATCACAAATCACTTGATTCCAATCGAATCAACACCAAATACCTAAGGTCTTGAGCACCCCACTCAAACCGAGATATGTCCTTGTCTACACCTTACCTCACACCAAGGTATGCTAGGACTTCACCTTTGCCTTTGACTTAGCTTCACCCAAGCAAGTCTAAGGACTTCCCTTAGCTCTTGTTAAACACAAACAATGCTTACCAAGTAGCTAATTTACCCAGGCTATTAAGCCCTTAATAGAATAGAATTTTACAACATTTATTCAACAATTTGTCAATCAGATTTATTCCATAAAAGTTTGCTTACTAATGATGCAGAGATATGACACAAATTACAGAGACTTGAACGATAAAACCAACACTGATTTCAGCTTAATGACACCATTTAAGAAGCCATGACAATGCAGCACAATCCAACCATAATCAAAATTAGAGAACAGATTATTCACACTTTTCACATGAGAAAACAGATTCAAAAAACTTATTTGATCAGTTTTACAGCATGCAAAGTATTTGGGTCAGATTTGCAATCAAAATAGATTTATATCCAAAACCAATCAAGAGCACACCACTTTATAGTTACCTAACTTGTGAATATATTGATGTTTACAAGAAGGTGCCAAAAAGGTGACAACAGCTCTATTTGATACTAAAATCAACAATACTTCAAATTAGATCGAAACAGCAATGTGATTTTCAACCAAAAGATATTATCTCAGCCTTTATGAAATAGCAACCAGAATTATGAGAATCAAAACAATTTAAACTCATTCAGGTCAGGGTTCTGGTATATATTTCAAGATGAATCACTCCACACAAGGTTTCAAGTTTAAACAGGAATTTTAACAAACACCTTGAGGTCGCCTCTTATTTCGCACTATATAACGAAGTTGTTATACATAGACTTCAAGAATTGAATGCATTTGATCAATACACAACCAGCACAATCAAGAGAGTTGATGAAGATATAACATATTGATTTAAGCAACATCAAATAGAGATTGACACCACAAGAGGAACATGCAATAAAAGAGAATCAAAGGATTGACATCACCTGATTAAGAATTATCAAAGTTAGAATTCAATCAGCGATTTGGAGAGATTTCCAAAGGAAGACAGCAAATCGCGTTCTTGTTCTCACCCCTGTATCTTCAATCTACTCCTCTTTCCCAAGAACTCTTTCTAAATCCTTTTCTCATGATCTTTTTTCTCAGTTCAAGATTATATTTCTCTCTTAAGATTTGCTCAGATTTTTCTCTCAAGTGCATGATTTTTTTCTTTTCTCTCTCAGTGTGATTATTGATTACACTCTAATGAACTCAATATCTTGTTCTCTCCTTTTTTTTCTTTTGATAGCTAAAAAAAAAAATGCCGAAGCAAACATTTTGGGTGTTTTAATCTGAGCTGAAAGATTTTTTTGTTTTTGGCATAGAATGAAGGGCTGTGATTAAACTTTAACTGAGAGTGCATGGATGGGCTAAAATAGGTGTGGCAAAAAAAAATTAAAATAAAGATTTTTTTTTTTAGTGGCGCAGCTTTTTAAAAAAATGACATACAAAAAAATAACAACTTATGTTATGCATGAGATGCAATTCCTAAAGCAAGCCATTTTGATATAAAGGACTGATTGAAAATTGGTCATTATTAAAAAATAACTCTTCAATCCATAAGCTCTCTTTCCCAAGAACTCTTTCTAAATCCTTTTCTCATGATCTTTTTTCTCAGTTCAAGATTATATTTCTCTCTTAAGATTTGCTCAGATTTTTCTCTCAAGTTCATGATTTTTTTCTTTTCTCTCTCACTGTGATTATTGATTACACTCTAATGAACTCAATATCTTGTTTTCTCCTTTTTTTTCTTTTGATAGCCAAAAAAAAAATGCCGAAGCAAACATTTTGGGTGTTTTAATCTGAGCTGAAAGATGATGGGCTGAAATAGGTGTGGCAAAAAAAAATTAAAATAAAGATTTTTTTTTTTTTTTAGTGGCGCAGCTTTTTAAAAAAATGACATACAAAAAAAATAACAACTTATGTTATGCATGAGATGCAATTCCTAAAGCAAGCCATTTTGATATAAAGGACTGATTGAAAATTGGTCATTATTAAAAAATAACTCTTCAATCCATAAGCTCTTGATCACCTTGATACCTGTTGATAAAAAGAACAACCACATGTGTAGGTCTATATCAAAATATTGTGCATCATCAAAATATGACATCTTCAGCTTTTTCCAAATTAATTCATACTTCAGTATAGCTATGTGTTGATTTTTGGTGGAATATTCTATTTTTATGGTTGCTGTTTTGATGTCCAGGTAAGGAGTATGAAACGGGCTAGGGATATACGTGATCAACTTGCAGGTCTTTTGGAGAGGGTTGAGATTGAGCTAAGTTCAAATTCTAATGATTTAGATGCCATCAAGAAATCCATAACATCTGGTAAACTTATAAAACTAGTATTTACTTATGGTGTGGATCACTTTTCAGGCTACTGAATATAATTTTTAACCACTGCAGGATTTTTCCCACACTCTGCACGACTTCAAAAGAATGGATTATATCGGACTGTTAAATATCAACAGACTGTCCACATACATCCTAGTTCTGGGCTGGCACAGGTACTTTCGTGTCATATATTGCTGTAACTCACTAGTGTGGTCTGTTGTTTTCATGGATTGCTCTCGTCTCCATTTCTAATTATTAATGTTAGATATAATAAAATCATTTATGTGCTTTCACCCAACTGTTAAGCTTTAGGGATAGTTGGTTTGTGATATGGTATTAAAGCCTCTATGACAAATGGTTTAGAATTCGATTCTTGCCATCTCAATTCTTCTATTAGAAAGTAGAATTTCAGCCCAAGATATTGGGTCTGTGCATTGTCCTTGCTTCAAGTCTAAAGAGCTTTTGCTTGACGGATTGTGTTAGATATAATAAAACCACTCATTACCTTCACCCAACAGTTTAAGCTTTTGATTGAGTGATTTGTGACAATTAAAAAAAAAAAAAATATCAGAAAAGTTGCATTGCAATAAGCAGTTCCTACACAAACTGAACCAAAGAAATTATAAAACTGAAACTACCTACTTACTGCATAATTTCTACTGGAATTTTTCATCCATTACATTTTCTGACTTTTACCCCTAGTCTCAATCTAACATCGTGCAAATGAGCTTGTTAATCGGTCCATCTCGTTAAGGTTATTGTCGTTGTAAGTTCCAAAATTATTTTGTCATTGAGTCTGGAGTCTCCATCTCCCTCTCATAAAAGTTCATGGCAATTGCTAGCTGAGAGGTTAATAATAGTAATTGAAGAAAACCAAAATTTGCACTTAATCACCAGCTGTCTTGCTATGCATATTCTCTTAACTGACACGTTCATATTCAAAGGCCTGCTGCCTTAGTAAGTGTTAGAAATAATGCAATATATCAAAACCATTCATCTATCTTCACCTAATAGCTTAATTTTTTTGGGAGAGTTGGTTGCTTGACATGGTAGCAGAGTCTTTGTGATCAAGTGGTCCAGTTCAATCCTTGCTGCCCCCATTTAGCTAATAATCATCTAATAAATATTGTGGATTTTTTCACACATGTAGGTGGGTTTGTGCATTGTTCACCCTCCAAGCCCAATAAGCTCATCTCATCTGTGAGGGGTTGTATTAGAAATATAATGTATAAAAGAATTCATCTACCTTGAAGGGCCGGCTTGGCTCAGCGGTAAGCTTGCTTGCCGTGGTGTGTCAGGTCGCGGGTTCGAATCAGCCTCTCTGCAAAAAGCAGGGGAAAGACTGCCTAGAGTATTCCCTTCCCCAAACACTCACGAAGTGAGTATTTGAACTGGGTCGGCCCTTTATAGTCTGATAGTCTGAGTAGCCTTTTTGTATCTTAGTTTAAAATTAATGGTGTTATGGGCTTGTGGTACTAATCAAAGCACAATTTAATGTTCCTATTTAGGCTATTCAAACTGACTGGGGAGGTGAGTACAATTCATTCACCTTCTTTCTCAAAAAATGGCAATTGTACACCGAGTCATTTATCCTCACACCCATTATGTAAAGAACCAATTCAACCCAAAAGCTTAAACTGGTAGGTGAGGATAAATTAATAGTTTTATATATCTCTAACATGTCCCTTCACACGAGAGCCCACTGGGCTTGAAGGATGGATAATGCACATACCCACCTAACTGTGCTAAGAAATTCCACAAGAGAAAGTGGGGGGCAGTGAAGATCGAACCTGTGACATCAAGGCTCTGATACCATGTAAAGAACCAATTCAACTCAAAAGTTTAAGCTAGTGGGTGAGGCTATATTAATGGTTTTCTATATCTCTAACACATTATCAAAATGGATTTATTGAAAGAAGGCATCGCCAAATAGTGGAAATTTGGAAATGGGTCTAACTTTGTTAGCTCAAGCTTCCTTACCTTTCCAATATTCTGAAGTTCCAACCCTTAGAAGCTCAATCATGGTTCAAAATTGGTTACTGGTATAATGGCAGTGAATTTCCCATATCAACAACTTTTCAAAACTGTCCCAGATTATAAGTTCCTAAGGACCGGTGGCTGTGCCTGTTGGCCATTACTCAAGCCCTACAATAAACACACACTTGAATTCAGATCCAAAAAGTATATTTTCTAGGCTATGCTCCTCACCACAAAGGCTACAAGTGCTTCAGCTCAGATGGCAGAATCTACCTGTCTATGGATGTTCTATTCCATGAGTTCAGATTTCTCTATCCTACTCCATTTTCTCCAAAATCTTAGTTCACTTCAAAGAGTGACTCACAACATACTCCAGCCTAATTCTTCCTATCACTCCTTCCTCTGTTACTTCTAGCCCAAGTCTTCACTCTCATTCGTAAGCATTTAATTCTTCTCAAAATACTTCATCAAATAATCGTCCTTTTCTGTCTTCTCCATAAGTGGTACTCCTCATTCCTCACTACATATTTCTAATACTCATAGTGCCTCAAGTCAGTCTCACTTCATCTTCGGGGTCTTCAAGACAGCACTGAAGACAGATATCTAGCCCTTCAGACTGCAACAACAGTCCAACTTCTCCCTCTGTTTCTGGCTCACTCATTACACCGCAAAACACCACCTCTCTCCTTCCTTCTCTTCGACTCCTCATCGTCAAGTTCTGAATATGTACCTCTGCAGAACTCCCTCACCAACTTATTCCATCACTACCCATTCTAAATGCGCTGTCCCATCTCTATTTACAGCCCATATGGAGCCTAGCAAATACTGCTGCTGAAATACTGTGGGTTAAATCCCATCTCCAGAAACTGCACATTCTAATAAAGACTCCCTTTGTATACTGTGATACTGATAACTAGAGTATTGTGTCAATTGCTCATAATCCTGTTTGCATTCTCGCACCAAGCACATAGATTTAGATGTGTTCTTTGTCCGAGAAAAGGTCCTCGACCAATCCCTGATTGTGCAACACATCTCTGCTCAGCTTCAAGTTGCAGACACTTTCACAAAGGCTCTGTCTGCTTCTCTGCTTCTTGGATCACACGCAATTGATCCAACACCCTTGACCTTTTGGGGGGAATATTAGTGTAAAGAACCAATTCAACCCAAAAGCTTAAGCTGTTGAGTGAGGACCTCTTTAATGATTTATATTATATCCTAACACATCCCCTCACACGAAAGCCCACTGGGCTTGAAGGGTGGACAATGCACAGGCCCATCTACCTGTGCTAAGAAAATTTCACAAGAGAAAGTGAGGGGCGGTGAGAATCAGACCCGAAACATGAGGCTCTGATATCATGTAAAGAACCAATTCAACCCAAAAACTTAAGCTGTTGGGTGAGGACCTCTTTAATGATTTATATTATATTCTAACAATTAGAATATAGCATAGTCTGATAGTCTAAGTAGCCTTTTTTGTATTAGTCAGTTTAAGATTAATGGCAATGTGGCACATTATATAATTGGTTTGTTTTCTGCTTAGGGTTACAACCGTATGTAACTTGTTACTGTCGCGGTATGGGCTATATTTGAACTTCAGAAGTTGTGGAATACTATATATATGGATGTCTAATTTGATGCAATTTGATAAGAATCAAACAACTTTATGTTGCATGAATATATATACACAGTACTAAAGTTGGGACTGCTGTGCTCTTGTAACTAAAATTTATTTGTTTGGCTCATTTATTTTTGTTTTCACTTTGTTTACACTGCATAGGTTCTTCCTAGATGGGTTGTATACCATGAACTAGTACTCACAACCAAGGAATATATGAGACAGGTATTCCTAAATGTTAACTAATTCAAATGGTTTTTTTTACTTCTTTCAATGGATATTTTTCAATAGCTGAAATTGCATACTCAAATTGCAGGTCACGGAATTAAAGCCAGAGTGGTTGGTGGAGATAGCCCCCCACTATTACCAGCTTAAAGATGTTGAAGACTGTATGTTTTCTTTCTCTTTATCTCTTATATTGCCGTTCTATGCTTACCAGGAGTCGACCATGTTTCCCTTTGAGCTTTAACATGATTTAAATTATTGAGACCTTTTGACAGAGAATTGATCTTTTAATCAAGTTTTGTTTTTAATAAAGATCATAAAAGATCAGGTTGTAGTTAGCATGCAAGCAAGGTTCCTGTCGTTGGTTTGTGGATAATACTTCCATAGATCTTTTTATCTCTAATATTTCCGTTCTATGTTTGTGAGGTTTCAACCATGTTTCCCTTTGAGCTTTAACATGATTTAAATTATTGAGACCCTTTGACAGAGAATTTAATCAAGTTTTGTTTGAATAAAGATCATAATGCAAGCATGCAAGCAAGGTTCCTGTCGTTGGTTTGTGGATAATACTTCCACAGATTTTTAATATGGCTCATTCTAATTTTGGATGCCATCCTCAGGTGGTGAAGATTGAACTTGTGACCACTTGGTCACGGAGGCTCTGATATCATGTAAAGAATCAATTAACCTAAAAGTTTAAGCTGTTAGGTGAAGGCCACATTAATGATTTTATATTCCTCTAACAGTTCCCATCCCAAACCATTGCACTCCATTATTTAAAAAACTCCTGGACAATAGATTGTGCTCCTTTTACCATTCTATTCCATTACTAACCACTCCACTCCATCCATTCAAACATAACCTTTTTCTTTTTTCTTTTTTGCATGGAAAGAATAATTTTGTTAAGCGGGAGCGTTTCATTCCTCCTATTCATGAGAATTATTATTATATTCTTCTTCTCCTTGGATTAGGGAATTTGATGGCTTTCTACATGGTACATTTGATTTAACCTAACTTGTGTAACTTAAAATATGGATAGTTAATTAGATGATTTTTTATATATCCCTTGTTTCACAATTAGACTGCATGCAAAGATCCTCTGTTGGTAAGAATTATTGTTGTCTCGTGTTAATTCATTGAAGTCAGTAGATTCATTTTCCACTGGTAGGTAAATGGAAAAAAAGGGGAGTTGTGATGAACCTTCGAGCGAACTATGTTCATTAATTTAATTAAGAGGTTGTAGTATATAAATCAGTTTTTAATTTGTTAATTATTATAACAAGAATGTTTTGTTGATTTATGCCATTAACCTCTACTATTCTCTTTAGCTATTTAGTTGTTAAATCAAATTTTGATGCAGCGGCCTCCAAGAAAATGCCTCGCGGAGTAGGACGTGCATAGTAGGATAAGCAGCAGGCACATCTTCACAAATGCTTTGGGAGGAGGAAGTACATTCGTGGGAAGGTGGTTTTGTTGGAGAGAAAAAATGTCGCCCTTAGGCTTGGGAGAAGATGCACTGTGGATATTCTTTTATTGCTGTACATCTAAACTATAGCATGTATTCTGTATATTTAGACGTTGAAATTAACCTTGACTGTAGTAACCCTTGCATCCCTTGGTGAGTGGTGGCTTGATAGTTTAGGGGGAAATGATTTGTATGATGTCATTCACTGACAGAAAATTTGTCTTTTTAGTCTTCTGTTTCAATTTTAGTGACGAGTAGCATCTGATTTAATTTTATATTATTGCTAGTTTAATATTGTATAAATTGCTCAGGAGATACTCTGCTTTAATGCAGAAATGACCGTACATATTCATTTCAATATTTTACCTTTCATTCTTATTGTGTTTATAATGTGTGACTTGTGCTGCTAAATGTTGCACCGTTTCAATATTGTATCATTCGAATAGTTTTTTTTTTTTTTTTTTCGTTAGTGCTTCGCTACGTAATCTAGTTGTTTTCATGTGGGATTCAGTTCCAGAGATTCTGCCTTTTCCAAGAGCCAGAATGCCTTAAAGGTGTCGTTTGGTTGAGGAGAATTTTTTTGAAATCTAGGGAAATAGAATTGATAGGGAAATGGTAAGAAAGTGAGATAGATAGGAAAATGTAAAAAAAAATTGTTTGGTGGGAAAAAACTTGACTGGGGAAATTCGCAAAAGTGAGACAAAATTACTTCACAAAAATTCACAAACAGTGGTTTAGCTGTGTTTTACCAAAAACCACATAACAAAAAGCTTTTCTAACAGTGTCAAAATCTATCTTTTTCCTATCCAATTGAGAAACCTATGCATTTTGGATGACTGACTTTTTGTCTGAATCTCATCCAACAAAACACGTTAAAACTGGATTTCTTGTGTCACTTGTCTAGGAAAATTGGATAAAGACGCCAGCCAAACACCACCTAAGGGGTCGTTTGTTACGTGGATATTTTTTGTTTATCTGGGAAAGCAATACCTATGTAAGAATAACCTATTCATGTTATGGGCCCATCTCATGTTCATATTCTAGAAGGCCCAAGAAGTGTAGCAGAAAGAGGAAAATAAATGAAAGAATCCCTAAATAATATTAGCATTGGGCCTCCAAAAAGCCACTAAAGGTCTAGAATTTCATTACCTATATGTAAATTCTATAAATAAGAGATAAAGTCTATAAGTATGATACTTACACTCTCTCATTATTTGTTATTACTGTGCACACACATTACCCCATGGCTACGTCACTATTATTATGAACAGTGATTCACTTACCTTAAAAGTATTTCTTCCAAGAGCCTTAGATCCAAAATCAATCCTTAGGATAGAACAGTTCCTATTAATATTATTAGTATAAGTTAAATTAAAATATATTACCAATGAGATATATAAATGTAAAATTATATAAATATTATTCAAGTATTTTTTTTTTAATTAAAACTTGTAAGAGTTACGGGTGACGAGTCATGTTGACGAATCGTGTTTTTTTTTTTTGGATAGAGAACAGGAAAGCAAAACAAGAATTACATCCTAATCAGTCTGGGATACCAAGATCCCATACTATCATTGTCTAGCAATAAAGCACATCCCTGAGGGGGAGACTCGAAACCCTGCATGCTCCAAACTCTAGCCATAAGGTTGGAGACTAGCCAATTAGCCACTCCATTGGCCTTCCCTGTAGATATGGTTGACCTTAACGGTCTAGTCTTTGCGAAGGAGCTTCTGAATCTTGAACACCAACCTTGCATAACTTTGATACTCCTCGTAGCCTTTTTTACGATGGAGGCATAATGGGCTTAGGGGTGGCAAGTTCAAACCATACGAATATGAATACACTGAATATAAATATGATACGAATTTAAAATCAAGTTAAAATCTTTTTACAAACATAACCTGCTTATTTTGTGGAATGACATAGCAAGACATAAATAACCCGCAACCTTAAAGTATGTAACTTATTATGCAGTTTGACATCATACGACACAAATATTTGTATTATGTTGGTGACATATATGTATATGGACCTCGGATTTCCTCTTCAAGCACACTGTTGACTTAATCTGATGTCTCCCAACATGCATCTTTATGCATTCAAGATCCAACGAGGCCTTTGTGTGGATCATAAGATTAACATAACACGGACATAAAAAAAGAAAAAGAAAAAAAAAAGGATGCACAAGCAATTCCCGTAAGGATCACCATCTAAAGTTATAAATTTGAACTGAATAAAACAATAAGATTTACGTATTCTCTCTTTACTCACGCACGCAACACACATATATGGCTTGACAACCATCATTTGAAGAGTAATAAAAAAAAAAATACTAAAAGACTACAAGTAAAAAATAAAATAATGGGCAAAGGATATGAAAGAACAACAATTCCATGGATCAACAACTTGAATTTCCAGTAACACAGATTGCATCTTAATTCTTCGCCGATAGCCTAGCAACAAGAGACACCAGACTGAGAATCACCAGCATTTTAGATAACTGTATAGTCAACAGTTATAAGATGAACATAAATATCAGTCAAAAAAAGGACATGCAAGATCACTCAAATCACATCATCAACCGTTTCAAGGCTTTCAGAGGAGTAATATGAACAATAATATCCATAAGATGATTAATATCAACAATATCTCCATAAGTTCGTATGCAAATGAGAAACATCACATTACATATAGAAAATAAAAGGCCCCTAAATACATTAAAATAACTACGCCTTGAAGCTGCAAATGTAAGTGATGGATAGGAAGAAGAAAAACTACATAAATTGGAATAACATTGAGAGGAAATAAGATAAATATGCCAAAGAGCATGTACTGAGTCCAGCTATCATTTACTAATAATATGTGACACAATTAACACTCTTAAGGGAGTGACAGTAGACTCTCTGTATAGAGAGCTGGGTTCAACCAAGTCATAGCGTCAGATATTCTGAAAATTCCCAGCAATTCTCCTTGGTCATTAAGTTTCGTCAACTTGTCATCACCTACACTTAAAGCAAGAAGTTCACCACCTTTGGTTTTGGTGGACCAAATGTGGCAGAAATTCCTATCAGGAATCTCAAACATAGTCCAAGATGACTGCACTTTATATTTTTTCATCATCCACACCTGATTTTTATCTAAACCAAAATGGTAATACCATACACTGAGACATCCATCCATGATTAACAAATTTCCAAACGAATGGTTATTGCAAGAGATATCTCTGATAGTTGTTTTTCAAACAAATCAAAGACAATAATTATTGGTCGTTCAATTCCAGGGAAAACCAACCAATGAATAGCCCAATTAAAGAACAATCCATCATGTTGGCCGAACTTCAATTTGCGAGAAAGGGAATTCTGGATTTTTTTCTCCCATGAATTGGTTCTCAAAGAGAAAAGAAACATGTCCATGGGGGTTCCCTCTCCAACAAACCATAAACCAACTAACTACCAAGTAATCATCAGTGCATGGGTCATACCCAAAACCAATTAGACCAATTAGGAAATGGTTTTGGGTATGTGTCTTTCTTATATTATCATTATCAGGGAATCGTATGTATCTGTGAACACCAATTGATGGATTCCATATATAGAGATGTGATGTGAGGACTCTCCCATGAAAAGAATAAACCCTCTGCAGGAACCCAACATAGCATAAACATGAATAAAAAAATCATCAGACTCTGGAAGCGGGTGAATGAGGCTCACAACAGCAGAATCATCGTGAAACGACTCGTCAACATGGAGGGCTTTTTAAGTATAAAATTCTTTGAAGAGAAGTCTATGGGACGGAGCAGCAGATAGTTCAAAATGAGATTTTGCAAAAGAGGGATCGGATCACAAATGAGAGAAAGCCATGACTTACATACACATTTGAATCGGAGAAGAGATTTCACAGGTGACCTCAATAGGATTTCCTGCACCAACTCCTCAGGGATGATGTTACTCTCCTCCATGTTACTCAACAACACAACACAACACAACACAGAATTACGGTTAGGCTTATGTCAAAATAATTGTACTGCATTGCATTGGATTGGATTTTTTAATTATTAAAGAAAAAAATATTTATTATTCTAAATGACATAACATTATGTCATTTTAAGAGAGAGATAGATATAAAATTAAAAAAAATTATTTAAAATTTAAATTAAAGAAAATCGCTCACATTCTCTTCCATGATTTTTATTTTTTGTGTCTATCTCTCTTCTAAAATAACATAACTTATGTCATTTAAAATGACAAACATCAAACCCTTAATTAAATGGAGAAATAAGAAAATCACTTAATTATAGGGATTTATTCTAATTGACAAAATAAATAAATAAAAGGATCTTATTTGATCTAAAAAAAACACACACATATATATATATATATATATATATATATATATATATCCTAAATTATAGTTATATTCTAAGTAGATTGTACACAAACTTACATTTTATGGGTGCGGCTCCTTAGCACGGACACGTTTTTTTTTTTTTTTTTTTTAAATTTTGCGAGTCGGACACGTGTCCGACACGGACACGCTTTGACAAGCTCGAACACGCGTCCGACAAGCGGTCAACATTTGGGGACACACGGTCAATTCTTTGACACGCTCCGACACACAGTCAACTTTTTCTGACACGCGATCAACGCTCGGACACGTTTTTTTTTTTAATCTTAATTTTATTTTGTTAACTAAATATATAAGAAATAATTTATAAATTAATTTTTTTTCTGTAATGAAATTTGACATGAAAAATAGCAAAGTACGGAAAAAAATTTATATTTATAAAATTTAAATATTTGATTGGTTATATGACTTATTATGGACTCTTATATATATTGAATATAAATTATATTATATATATTAAAATTTTTATTTAATATCAAAACGTGTCTCAACGTGTCAAAATATGACATTTTTAAAAATTAACGTGTCAGCGTGTCGTAACGTGTTCCGTGTCCGTGCATCATAGGCAGTGTGGTAAAACCCGGCCGGGTCGACCCGAAACCCGGTGACCCGGTCATCAGACCGGTTCGGGTCATGCGTTGGACCGGTCATGCATCGACCCGGTCAAAACCCGGACAAACCCGGTGACCCGGCAACCCGGTGACCCGGTGGGTCATGCATTTTAAAAAAAAAAAATCAAAATTGTTTCATCTTATAAAAAAAATGTAAAACTCATTTTAAAAACTTTTTGTAATTTTATTTGCTAGTATACTCTTCTACAATGACCTCTTAGTTTCCAATACTGAAGTAATTTGTGGAATAATAAATCAGAGAATGTGACATATGTTATTTTAATGTAGTTGAATTTGAAATGAGTTCAATGTCATTGAGATGTA